GAGAAACTACCTTAGATACTCACATAAAACCCCATATTGGATGCTCTGATATACTGCATTTTTATTCATGTTTTTTTTTAACTTATTATTACTCATGTTTGTACTGGTTAAAATATTATGTGTTATATTATCTTTTATATACTGAAATTTTACATTTTTGTGCATACTATTAATAAATATATAAACAATTTGAATAGTTAAGTAAGACAATATACCACATAATATATTAACCAGTACAAACATGAATATCTACATTTTAATGAGATAGACGCTTTGAACAAAACAAAACAAAAAGACTTTTTTTTTTTTTTGAAACTTCACAAATAGACTCTTGGTCATCAGTTTTATTTGTATCTATTTTTGATTATTTTACAAAAGTGTTTTATTAATTTTAACTAGGGAAGAGATATATCGAAAGAAGAACGGAGATGATAACTGGCAAATACCGCAACCATGAGGGATCTTATCCTCGTTGGTTCGTTATCAAATTCACAGGAACCCTCGAGCTTGCTCAACAACTTGGCTTACACTTTGTCTTCTCTAATCGCTGTATTGAAATGATCAAAGAGATGTTTTATCAACGCCAAGATATTCTCAAAAGGTAACGTTTACATGAGAAGAAATCTTGATTAAGTTTACCCAAAAAGCAAAAAAAAAAAATCTTGAGTAAAATATTAAAGTTTAATCGGCTTTTCTTTTTCTTCAGAGAAAAATTGGTTGATGAGTGTAACTATAGACCTCTACTTGCATACTTAGAGGTGTTACCATCAACATTTGTTGTCAAAAATTTTGAAGATATCATAGTTAAGACCATCGATACTATCGATGGCTCTTTGTATCAGTCCCCTTCAGCAACTGCATCAGCGTTTATGCTCACTCGCAACAAAAAGTGTCTAGCTTATCTTCAAAATCTCGTTGAAAGATGCCCTCATGGAGGTTACATCAACATTCTAGTTACCCCAAAGCAATAGATATTTTGAGTATTCTTATTATGTAAATGCATTTCAATTTTTTTTTTAACGAGCTATATTATGTGTGATTTCTTGTCTCAGTGCCACAAAAGTACCCTCTCAATGAAGACCTCATAAAACTATCCATGGTCAGTCTAATCGAGAATATCGGTTTAGGAGAGTTCTTCGGTAAAGAGATTGAACATGTTCTTCAACAAGTTTATAGGTAAGGAAATATTTACAATCACCATTTTTTATTCTTTTTCAATATATAAAATATTTAACCAAAAATTCTTATTGTCCGCGTAAATTCTAGGAGCTGCGAGGAAGAATATGTCGAGAGAATGCCCATTAGTTACCGAGCAGATCAATTGCACAAAGACTCTCTTGCTTTTCGAATGTTAAGAATGCGAGGTCACACCGTTTCGCCTAGTAAGAACTAACACTTATTTTGAAGTAGTAGTTATGTATATATTGTTGAATTAGTTCAAATGAATACCTTGTTATTATCTTACCGAGATTAAAACTATTACAATAAATAATTTTCAGGACGCTTTTGTTGGTTCTTGAATGATCAAGAAACTCGAAATCATTTAGAAAGAAATGTACACTATTTCTTCCTCGTAATCCTTAGTGTTTACCGAGCAACAGATCTCATGTTTCCGGGAGAATGTGAGCTCGAAGAAGCAAGAGAATTTTCCTGGAAATTACTCGAGAAAAGTGAATTTATCAATGAAAAAATGGTGCCTAGTTTTCACATCAAACATGAAATGAGTGCTCCATGGATGGCTCGACTCAAACATCTTGATCATAGGATGTGGATTGAGGAAAAGAACTCAGATGTTCTCTCAATCGGAAAATCCTCCTTTCTAAGGTATATCATATATTTATGCAATTGAATATATCTAGTTTTAAATGCTTTTAAAACAAGCTAAACCAAGGGTTTTTTGGGTTATATCTGGAATCAGATTAAGTCGTTCATATAGTGACAAGCTGACTCATCTTGCTGCAAGAAATTTCGAGTTTCAACAAGCAATGTATAGACTCGAGTTGGAGGAATTGACAATGTAAGTATATATACCTCAATTTTCACTACATGACAATCACAAGAAAAATAAAATTATGGTTTAGTAAAGCCATTGAGTTTTTGGTACACAAACTCTAAGTTAGGCCCGGTTCAGTGTCCCAATTGGCCCGTGCTTAAAAATAAATATTTGGGCCTTTATATAACAAATAAAAGAAAAATGGGCTCTATTCTTCAATAATAAAAAACAAAATTTAGAGCAAGATCTTTGTGAATTGTGACAGGTGGGTAAAGAAATGGGGACTCAATGATATTGGTTTTGGTAGAGAGAAGACAACATATTGTTACTTTGCAACTGTGACTTCATTGCCCTTTGAATCTGGCATTAAAGTTGGAAAGCTTGCAGCAAAGAGTGCCATCCTCATCACAATTGCCGATGATTTCTTTGATGAGGAAGGTTCTTTGGATGATTTGGAAGCTCTTACTAATTCCGTTCTAAGGTACATTTGTTAAAACTGGTGTGAATAAAGATATTAATACTAAAAACTGGTGTAGATTCGATTTAGAATCTTATTATTATATTGTTGATTTTTTATTGAATTACTGTGTACGTATATGATAGATGGGAAGGAGAAGAGCTTAAAGGTTATGGCAAGATCATATTTAGAGCACTTGATGATATTGTAAGAGAGACTGCAGAGACTTGCCTTAAGCATCACGGAACTGACATAACTGACCATCTTCGCAACATCGTATGTCTTTTTACTCAATCCGGTTTATAATTAATGACATAAAACAAATTAGGATCACTTATTCCATGTTTTTAAAACGCATTGAAAAACAAAATTCTCAACTTCTTCTTAAGAGTGAACTACGTATTCATCATAAACGAATAATCACAATCGAAGGAGAAATAAAACAAAGCAAATTTTGATCACGTCGGAAGATCGTATTTAAATTACCTCTCCATGAGTATTTTTATGAATTAATAACTTTAAAGGTCATAACTTTGATGATCCCAATATTTCTGATGACTTGCTAACATTTTTTTTATTTCTTTCTTATATCAAGTTATATTTTTCTTTCATTTTTTTATGGTTGACTAATTCAAAAAAATAACATAGTCATTTGTTTCCAATAAAATAATATTTCTTAAGAAAATTAATTTAAAGTCTGATCTAAAAGGAATAAAAAATACATTAAACAAATAACTCTTCTCAAAATATTTTCTTATATATTATAAATATGCAGTGGCGTGAAACATTTGAGTCATGGCTACGCGAAGCCGAATGGAGTAAGAATGGACCAATGCCATCGATGGAAGAATATCTTCGAAATGGAATGATCTCAATCGCAGCACACACCATTTCTCTTTCTATCTCATGTCTCATGGAACCATGTTTCCCCCAACATAAACTCAGACCCGGAAAGTATGATACGTTAACCACATTGCTCATGATCATACCTCGACTCTTAAATGATCTACAAAGTTATCAGGTGAATCAACTTTTAGATCTAGTTCTGTTTTTTTTTTTTTAACTAGAGTATATTTTTATAGGGTTTTAGTGGTA